GCCAATGGCCATTGTTGCCGAGGCTTAATTTAAATTTAAAAAAAAAAAATTCTAGTACGAAATTGATGGCGATTTTCGAATAACAAAATAATGTCACATTGTCTCATACTTTATGTGACTATTTTTTCGTCATAAAGCTGTTTATAACTTCATAAATTGATTGTTAATGTGTGCGATTGTATCTATTTATTGTTAGCAACAAATTAACCATATATTACCTATACAGCTATACGGCTATACCGTACATTGATTACCAAGACCAAGTACTGAAGTACCTACCTATTAAAATAACACCCACCCCAAACGTGAACCTCAAAATGCATGATCAAGCCGCCTCTGTATAAATCAGGGTTGCCAGATGATGTTTTAGTCGTATAGCCAGTAGAGCGAGGTCAGGTCGCCCAAAATAGCCATTATCTCAGATTAGTTAGGTAGCTCAATATAGCCAATAACAATTTTTAATTTACACCACGGTCTTAGAAGATAAGGTCGGACAACTATGCATTATCAGCATTCCGCTTAGTGAGGCAAATCCATTTCAAAATTTGGCAGCTATATAATTGAGGGCTGCCCTGCAGATTTTTTTTTTGAGGCTATGGCATTATAATAGTAAGTTTAAAATAACGACCATATAAACTAGCTAGTTTATTATAAACCAACTAGTTTATATGGTCGAAGAAAATAGTATAATAATATAGTCCACAAAAATAACCCCGAATGCCATATAAATATTGTTCTTAACCTCAAAATAAGTCTAACCGACCTTATCTTCTAAGACCGTGATTTACACAATTACACAAAATGTTAATCAATAATTTGTATGTTTTACATCGCAGCATCGAACATTATATTCGCATAGTATAGTATTTGCATAGTATGACAATTATATAATTCAAGTCTAGTGAGCCCGAGAACACCGAAAGCAAAAAAAAAAAAGAAGCTATGTTAACTATGCCTTTATAAATAGTATAATATTAAGAGATCTTTGTTTTACAATATGTTATCGGTTTTAATCATTTTATAAATATAATAAAAATCCTAACATTTTATATTTTTATAAAATAATTTGAAATGTATCACGGCCCAGTTAAAAATGGTACGCAGGCCGGCGGTTTCCCATCCCTGCTATTATCATATACATTTGTATATAGTTCAACAGTAAGTTGTATTTTAAATATTAGTTATACTTTCAGATTACTGCAATAGGCAAGTTAGTGACATTATTACTAAAACTAAAAACAATATTTTCTTATGACTAAATTAAAAATGCATTAATTATATAAATATATTTAAATTACTGTTATAATTCTTAAAAAACATAAAAAGTTTGACTTAGATATGTATAATACTTAGAGCGCAGACCAATCGATGATCCAGCTGAAAGAGAGTCAACTCAGTAAGTTCCTGAACAGCCTGAACAACAAATTGATGCATCACAACCGGGTCCCTCTAGTGCAATTCCACCAGTATTAAACAGTTTTAGGGCACAAATTCGGGGTTTGAATTCACAGACATCGATGAATGATTTTGTTCAGATAAGGAAACCTCTTACTGCTCCTAGGAAAAAAATTATTGAAGAACAATTAGCGAAAATGATTGTCAAAAAGTAATATAAAGCGTACTTAATTTACATGTATTATATTTAAATAAATGTATATAATATTGTTAATTATGTTATTAGGTATTACCCATTTTCTATTGTTGAGGATTCTGAGTTCAAAACATTTGTCCAAATGCTCAACCCTGGGTATATACTGCCAAGTAGGAACCTAGTATCCAATAGTTTGATACCTAGGTTGTATGAGTCAACTAAAGATGTTGTCTTGGAGCAAATAAAAAAAGCAGTAGCTGTGTGCCTTACTACCGATTGTTGGACATCTGTTAACAATACCAGTTTTATGGCAGTAACAGCCCATTTTTTAAATGAAAATATGGAATTTAAATCGTATTGTCTTGATTGCACTGAATTTAGTGATCGCCATACTGCTCAAAACATCGGTGACCTACTTAAAGAAATAACCAGGACCTGGGACAGCCGTAGTAAGCGAAAATGCTTCTAATGTCATGTCTGGTGTAAGACAGACTGGTTATAGACATATTTCATGTTTTGCCCATTCATTGAATTTGGTTGTTCAAAAGTCACTTAAGCACATTGAACCTGTAACGCATAAGGTTTTTACAGTAAAACAATTAATTCAATTTCATCATAATATTAATATTTTAATTTCATACCATAGATCAAATCGATTGTAGAGTATTTTAAACGTAGTCATCATGCTTTGTCCAAGTTACATGCCACACAGGAACAAATGGGATTGCCAGTGCTTAAATGAAAGCAAGATGTTGTAACCCGGTGGAATTCCACCTACGATATGTTAAGAAGGATAATCAGGGTCAAGGATGCTGTTGTATCAACAATTGCTGTGCTTCAAGTACTTAGATTTGTTTTAATTGCAATTTTCATGCAGTAATTTTTCTTTACAATTAAACTTTAGGTAGATGTCCCAGTATTAACACCAATGGAATGGTCAATTGTGGAAAAATCAGCTGACGTGTTGGAAATATTCTATGAAGTTACGAAGGAGATAAGTGTAGATAAATATTTAACTTTATCTACTGCTATAATTTTTATTGGTGTCATGACTCAATCAATGATACAATATGAAGGTGATGCAAGTTTACCATTAGAGGTATCAAAATTAGTTGATTCACTTAAGGAGGAAATAATGACACGTTTGAGGACATACGAAGAAAATGAGTTGGTCACTCAAAGTGCATTACTTGACCCAAGGTTCAAAAAACTAGCATTTTCTAATACCAGTGAAAGACGATTAACCAATGCTATGTCTTTGCTGAGAGCTACAGTATGTACAATATCTTTACCGAATACAATAGTCAGTACAGATATTACAGTTGCACAAGTCTCCCACTTCCAGTCAGTCATTGTTGTGGAAGTCTTTTGATCAAGACTTTGATAGACATAGGGCAGTTCAAAATCCACAAGCAGCTGGAATTATAGAGATGGACAAATATTTTAATGAACCACCAATAGGACAACATGAAGATCCATTAGCTTGGTGGAATGACCGTAAATCTCTGTATCCTCGTCTCTTCATCCTAGCAAGAAAACGTCTTTGCATCACTGCAACTTCTGTACCATGCGAACGCCTTTTTAGTAAGGCTGGACACGTCATAACTGACCAAAGGAGTCGTATGAAACCTGGAAAAGCGTCACAAGTGTTATTTTAAAACCAAAACTTATAAATAATTTGAAATTTTCACTACTTTAATTTTAAATAAGTAATTAATATTAAAATTTTAAATACTTACAGATAAATGTATGCCGGATTGTAATGATTCCATTTTTTCTCCCAAAAATTCAATGCTCGTGTATCATGCCATCATAGATGATCTGGACAGTATTCTGTTTCTGTATGTTTATTCTGATGAATCTCAGAATTCGATAATACTACGCAATGTAGTAAAATTATATATGAAATCAAACTGATTATTGAACTAAAAAAATACATACATAACCTACTAAGAAGAAACTAGTTGGTCGATGGAATAAAAAATAATAAATTAAAATAAAAGAGTCTTATGCTGGGTTGCATAAACAATTTATTAAATTTAATGGTTCACTAAAAATGTAATGGGCCAATTGTGGGCATCTTGTTAAGGGACCATCAGGCATTAGCTCACTAACCTGGCATTAATGTCTTAGCGAAAGCGTAAACAACAAATGGATTAATGATCCACATAATGTGGATTATGTAATAGTAATATGACAACATCTATTTTGTCATGGTTTTTACTATTTACTATTTTATTAATATATATTAATTGTATTACGTAACATCGCGCGCCCGCTGATAAAGCGTTATCAAGCGCAGAGAACGACTGAACGACTGAACTACTGAACGACACTTGGTATTTCTAGTTCAGTTCAGAACTACGAGTTACGAACTAAGATGTACGAAACCAATGTGTCGTTCAATAAGTATTTCAATCGTTCAGTGAACTAGTTCAATTTAATGAACGATGAACGAACGAACTAGTTCACCTAAATGAACTACACTTGCCATCTCTACTTACCACAACGTTATTTTACAGCTAGCAGTTCCCGGGCTTGATAGTCTTTTTCTCAGCCAGTGCTGAGAATTTAAAACCAAAATCAATGGAATATAGTGGTAATAATGCAAGATTATTATTTAGAGCATTTGATACATGTTCAATATCCAATAAATTTAAAATATTAGGATAATCATCGTCTCTTATTTCATTTGGTTTGATAAAACTTTTGGCGATAGACATCATTGACCGTTTTAGTTCTCCATAAGCATTAGTAATTGTTGAATATAATTTAATATTGTATAAAGAATCATCATATTGTGCAACAACAACATCGTTGCTATTAATAATGTGCAAAATCACGCCATATATTTATAAGCGAATCGGATATTTTTAAACATTGGCGTGAGACTTAGGTCAATAGGTTACTTGTATATAAGGCCGACTTTTAGCATACTGTCGGTACTACATTATAATATTACTTATGTGTAAGTCATGTGTTTAGTAAATATTACTTGTTACTAAAAACAGTGTAGTCATATTTTGTCCAGATCGATCTACAAACATAATCCTAAACTCAACAGTAATATCATCATTATTACATTGAAACTTCAAAATTCATTTGTGTAAAATCCTTAAGAATTGGTCTGAAGTGAAGTATAACAAATTTGTATCAGCTTTAAACATTTTGTTTAATGTCCTTGCACTGTGACACTTTTCATTGGTTGCAGCCATTTAAAAACATGTTTTTAATTTCAGCCACTGTTCTAATACTACATTAACACAATTATAGAAAGGAAGCCATCGAGTAGCACTTAATTTGACAAGCTGCTTTTGATCATTGCAGCTAACATTTATTATTTATAGTTTCATATAAACGTGCATATTAAATTTTCCTTAGTGCACTGTAAGAAAACCAGAATATTATTTCACGAAAGCATAAATTCTAAGTGAGTTGACAAAACATTAGAAGCTTTAAATGAACACGTATTTAGTGAATGACATACACATTTTATTAATTGCAAGTTAGGAGACACTTCACGCAATAAGGTATAAATTGAATGGTTACGGCCAAACAAGCTACTAGCTCCATCCACTTCAAGGCCAATTATATTTTTGTGGTTAAGATTTATTTCTTTCAAAAATTGTAGAGTTAAATCGGATAAAGCATCTGCGGAAGCACGTTCAACCATAACCAAGCCAAGAAATTCATTAGTTATAATTTGCATTGACTTACTAAATAACGAATACAGTATGCCATATATTTTGATACTGAGACATCTGTTGAGTGTTGATTCATTTACAATTAAGGAATATTTACTACACAAATGATATGTCATTTTTGCAAATATATTCGTATTTGTTAATTTTTAACAGGCTATGAAATATTATAGTTTATAATAGTACCTAATAAAATATATTGTTATTCTATTTAAAAAGACTGTAATTTCGGGGGGGAGGGCTGCAGCCCACTATGCTCACCCCTCATATACATTGCCACTGCCAGTCATTATCAAGGCAATCTTTTGTTTAAAATTACAATTACAAACCAAAAGCCGGTGCTATTGGACCATATATGACCATCATGTACTGTACCGAAACGTTTACAAAGTTCCTGTTTCAAATGCGGATCATCTGAACACAAGATAAATTCCTGTCCACAAAATCAATCACAACTCAACTCAACTCAATCCAATTCTCAGCATCAAGTCAGATTCGGTAACACCTGCATGTGTAATTTGTATTGATATTATAATATAATAGCTGGTATTTATATAATATCTAATATTTTATATAATGGTAAATACATGCAGTCCAGTTAGTCTGATAAAAGAAAAATTGTTCTCTTTACATTCTAAGTCTCCTATAGATCCAATCAGTACTTTTATTGTTGGTATAAATGGGTCTGAATTAGTAGTGTTAAATCAAATTCATGCAGATATTAATCAACCTAATATTGGCGACCCGATAAATATTAAATTAAATGATTGTCTGTTAGGTAGACATTTTCTATCTCATTCTAGAGTTATATTGGAAAAAACAATAGTAAATTTGAAATTGAATTGAAACAGTGATATAATACCATTCGATTAAATATTAAATTTGAGTGCTATGGACATGGAATCTAATGATATTCAACTTAATTTAGATTTGTCTACAACTGAAAATCTCAAGACTGGATTTTATGATAAATATAATAATTTTTATATGAATAATGAATATCAAACAGAACTTGAAGCAACAGTTGGTAGCCCATTAGAAATCAAATTAAAATAATGATGCTTTTTATTTTCAACCCAGGCGTCTGTCATATTTTGAGAAAAATGAATTGCAAAAGATAATAGATCAATTGTTAGAAAAAAAGTGATTAGACTCCGAGTATAGTAGCCCCATTGTGCTAGTAAAAAAGAAAGCTGGGTAATCGAGGTTGTGTATTGACTATATGGAATAAATAAACACTCTTGTAAGGATAGATACCAAATTCCTTTAATTGATGACCACCTTGATTCAATGAGTTGAAATAGATATTTTTCTAGTATTGAAATTAAGGATGGATATCATCATATTGAAGTGGTTGAGTCATCAAGAAAATACATTTCTATTACTTGTCCAATGGGCTAGTTTGAATATTGTAAAATACCATTTAGACTGTGCTATGGACTAGGAAAATTCCAAAGATAATATGTAAATAACATTTTTACTTTCTAGAGAACTTATCCGAGCAGGTAAAGTCATAGTATACTTTGATGATATGGTCATTGCAACTAAAACATTAAAAGTCCAGTTAAAAACTTTAAGCCATGGGTTTAAATTAATGAATAGATATAAATTACAGTTGTGATTGGATAAATTTAAATTTCTCAAGACCAAAATTATTTATTTAGGCCATCTAGTTGATTCATATTTGGTATTCGACCTAACCCAAAAAATTTAGCAGTAATGAAAGACTAGCCGTGCAAAATTGTACTAGTGCACTCAAAGCTTTATCGGTTTAGTTTCATATTTTAGGCGATTTATTCCTAATTTTGCATTAGTGACTAAGACTAAGCTATTGTATCAATTGTTGAAAGGCAACGTTCGTTTTAATTTCGGAGAAGATCAAATAAATGCATTTGAAGCAATTAAATCAAAATTAAGTGAACACCCGTTACTTTTTCTTTATAATTCCATTGCTGAAACAGAATTATATTGTGATGCATCCAGCCATGGATTCGGTTCTATATTATTGCAAAATTAGGGGGATGGTAAACTTCATCCTATTTTTTTTTTATAGTCACCGTACTACTGAAGTTTAATCCCGTTATCATAGTTATGAACTGGAAATGTTGGCAATAATTAATTCTATTAAAAGACTAATAGATCCTTGTCTATTTACAATGAATCAAATTTAAAATTGTTACTGATTTCAATAGTGTAGCCATGACCCTTCTAAAAAAGACATTAATCCAAGGATAGCTAGGTGGGTGTTAATCTAATAAGAATACGACTACCAAATTGAACATAGGTCTGGAACGCAAATGCAACATGTAGATAAATTAATTAGAAATCATGTATTAATTCTTGAAGTCTGTACTTTTAATCGGACACTTTATATAAGACAAAGTAGTGATTATAAGATTAAGGAAATTATTAAATTACTAGAAAACTCTGATCATAAACAATTCGAACTTCGTAATGGACTGGAGTATAGGAAATGTAAAGGGCATTTATTATTTGGCTATAGGTGAGTTGCGGCCCGACATGTAATTTACGTGTTGAAGACCGGTGAATTGCGGCCCGGTCATATTTTATCACTAAGTTAATTGCGGCCCGGGAAATTTATTTATTTTCAATTTTGTGCCGGCAGTGTCGGCAGTATTTTATCTAAAGTAGATAGTAGATACCATAACATCAATAGTTCAAACGAAAAATATTACAGTGTTAGTCTATTCACCACTTAGTATCTATATATACGAAAACTAAAAATTCTGTTTGAGTGTGTTATACAGTTTATTATATTATTATTTATTATTATATTATAAGTGCGTTATGGAGTTTGTAAATAGTGAAAAATCAAAACCAATTATTCTCTACGACGGCTACAAATTTCGTTTCCACAAAACACTAAAAAACGATGTACAGCGGTGGCCTTGCAGTGTCAAAAGTTGTAAGTGCTTTTTAAAATTATCTCCTTTAAATAAAATAGTTGACAGTAATACTAATCATAACCACAATAAAAACGACGAAAAAGTCCTGAATAGGCAAATATTAAGTAATTCTCTGAAAAGAAAAGCCATAGAAGACATTTCTTGCAAACCTTCAAAATTAATTCGTTCAGAATTGAAGAAAGGCGATATATCGACTTTGACAACGAATGATTTATCATTAATTCGACACAATGTTCATCGTGCCCGTTCATTTGTACACCCCCCTCTGCCAAAATGCATTAAAGAATTACATACTGCTTTGGAGTCTATGAATATCAAAACTAATATAAGTGAGCCATTTTTGTTTATCAACGACAAAGAAAATTTTATAATTGGTTTTTCTACTACACAAAACATAAAAGTGCTGTGCGATGTAAATAAATTTTACGTAGATGGAACTTTCAAAAGCTGCCCTAAACACTTTTATCAACTTTTTACCATCCATGGCCTAAAAAATGATATATATTTACCACTAGTGTTTTTTTTACTACCCGACAAGTGTAATACCACCTACAAGTGTGCATTTCAACATTTAATTCGCCATTCCATGTCCATTGGTCTAACGTGCTCTCCTACTGAAGTTGTTATAGATTTTGAACAAGCTATCCACAGTGCTGTAGCGGAAGTCTACCCTAATGCTAAAATAAGAGGATGTCGATTTCACCTAGGGCAAAGTTGGTGGAGGAAAATTTAAAGTTTAGGACTCACGAAAATGTATAACACAAATACAGATGAAAGTTATTTTTTAAAAATTTTTTTTGGTTTGCCATTTTTGGATTCTGACAACGTCATTGATTGTTTCACGGACGACTTTTTAGCAATACTGCCCGCAAAAGATGATCGGGTTGTAAAATTTACCGACTATGTTTTCGAAAACTATATATCCCCGGATGCTATGTTTCCCCCAAATATTTGGGCACAGTTCTCTGCTAGCTGTAACCGTACCACTAACGGCTGTGAAAGTTTTCACTCACACCTAAATTCATCGTTCTACTCTAGTCATCCTAACATCTATAATTTTATTGATGTGTTAGTAGAAATTCAATCAGAAACGTATATCAAATGTAGAAGCAATGGAATAAAAACGAAGAAAATATGTGAAAAAGAAGCATTTATAAGACAACAGATGACAAAGCTAGCACAAAAAAAAATAGAGCAGTTTGATTTCGTCAAATCATTAAGTTTTAAGTTTTTGCCCAACCAATAAATATTTCATATGAATATTTGCCATTTTTACATATTTTACATAAATATTAAAATTAATTTTACCATAAATTTTGCCATTTTTACATAAATAAAAAAAAATACAAATTTTTGGGAGACGACTCAGTCAACCTCCTCGTGGTGTCTTCTGGGTAACTCTAATAGGCTGATATGAAGTGATAAATAAAATGTAAAATGTGGCCGCAATTCGTACGTCTGTTTTATAAACACGGGCCGCAACTCGCACGTCCTTTTCATAAACACAGGCCGCAATTCGTACGTTATTTAGGGATCGGGCCGCAACTCACCAACACCGTATTATTTTATGTACCTACCAGCCAAAATGTGTAACCATGTGATTAGATCATGTCAAGACGATATGGGGCCATATTGGCATAAATCGTACTATTGAGTTTATTAAGCGAGTCTGATGGTTCCCAAATATGTCTGAACTCATAAGACTTTATATCGATACTTGTCTAAGATGTATAGTATATTCATCTAAAACTGGAAAGTTTACTGAAATTTGTAAATAAGAATAATGTATTATTCCACACAATACATATAGACAATTATGGTCCTCTAAACCCTACAAAAGGAAACTACCGTCATATATTCATAATTGTCAACGCTTTTAGTAAATTTCTTACATTGTACTCAGTCAGACCAGTTAAATCTCTAGAAACATGCACAAAGCTCATTAAATACTTTTCTTATTATAGCAAACTGATTAGAATAATCTCTGATCGAGGAACAAGCTTTACATCATTTCGGAAACTTTTGTAAAACATATTGCATTCAACATATACGTACTAATAGGAATTTATAAAAAACATGAACCAAAGTTTAAGTGTCCCTTTGAAACAAAGTAGTAGGTATTGCCAAATGATAAGTAGGTACGTGGTATAAGGCTGCATCAGGGTTGCCATCCGTACGATAATTATCGCACGCATACGATTATTTCATGATTGTGTACGATGTACGATAAATTTTTACTATCGTACACAAAAATACGATAATTTAATAATTTTACTAAAATTCAAAAATAGATTTTTGTACTTTCTGAATTATTTGTTGTCTTATATTAATCGGTTGACTGTTATCTTTTTTATTGGTTTTGGTGCGTTGTTTAATGTTATATGTCCTGTTCTGGTGTTCTGTGACTGTCTTTTAATATTAAAATTTAGAATTTTTTTGTTATATACTGGGTTTAAAAATTAAATTTTTCGAAATCCTAAAATGGAAGTTGATCCAGATATTCCAGGGTGTAGTATGACTAGTAGCCCTTCAACTCCAAAAAAATTCGAATGAATAGAGGCGGTGACATGGCAAAGAGTGAAAAACCAAAACATCGTTCACAAAAATTTCGGACAGTGGCAGAAAAATCTCTTATTTAAAACGTGGTTAATGCCAGTTAAATGTAATGACTAAAAACAGAAATTACTGTTTTAAAAAATCATGCACTTGGTAAAAAACACAAATCAATTATGTTGAGTGGACATAAAAATCAACCACCTGTTTCTCTGTTCACAACGGAAACTGATTCAGATATGAAAAAAAAGCAATTAGTATCCATTGCCGAAATAAAATTAGCAGCGTATTTTGCTGAACATAATGTGCCGTTTTTAGGAGCCGATCACTTGTCAGAATTACTTACGGAAGTATTTCCTGACTCAGAAATCGCGAAGAATATTAACGTTAAGAGAACTAAAACGACAGCGATCATTAAAAATGTAATTGGTAGTTCTCAAAAGTTCATTTTATCGGAGAAATTAAAAAAAACAAAAATTTAGCCTTATGACAGACGAGTCAACTGATATCGGTACAATAAAAACTTCCTGTGTAGTTGCAAGGTAATTAAATATTTTTTTATATAATATAGTACTTTTTAATATAAATATAAATTTTTATTACAGATTTTATGATGAATCTAGTGAAATGATAGAAAACGTTTTTTGGCAACTACACAATGTTTATGACACAGATAATCCTAGTTCAGCCAGTGCCGAACACCTTTATAACGGTTTGATTTCCACGCTTAATGAGTATGAAATACCATTAACCAATATAATTGGTTTTGGTAGTGATGGATGTAACGTTATGATGGGCCAACATAACTCTGTTGTTTCTCGACTGCGTGAGTCATGTCCAGGTATAAAACACTTACAAAAAAGTATGTTTGAATTTTTTTCATGTGACTTCATTATGTTTTTAGGCATTTTTATAATGAAATGTGTATGCCATTCGGCCCACTTATGTGCAAGTGAATTCCTGCCGAGCGAATTTTCTATGGAGGTAATATTTTCAGACTTGTGATTTTTTTCCATATTTTTCGAAAACCACCGAAAATTCTTTTGCCACTAACAGAGTAATTCGGACGTCAGTCTGGGCGTCACCATTGGGGGTAGGTCGAAATTGGAATTCATACCGAGCGAATTTTCTATGGAGGTGATATTTTCAGACTTGTGATTTATTTCCAAATTTTTCCTTCAAATTCTAAGCTCATATAATATGTTTTCGCATCTTATGAGGGTCGCTTGAGACACACGCGTTTTTTTCTTATTATAATTAGGGAAGAACACTTGGAGTCACTCTAGGTTGCTTTTTGGGGATGTTTCCTTTACTATTAAAAAAAGATGAAGAATCTAAGGATGAAAAATCTGTTGAGGAAGAGGATGAAAAATAAAAAAAAATATTTATTTCCACAGGTTATAAATAACTCTTATTCTGACTGATTCCTTTAAATAATTATACTATAAAACATAATATAATATACCCAGTGTAATTATTATTGTTTTATGTTTAAAGGCAAGCTTAAAAAGTAGAAAAATTATATTAGGTATTAGTAGGAAAAATAGATACATTTTAATTTTAATTTTTTAATTTTTTTGGTTTTTTAATGACAAAACAAAATATTTTTAAGAGAATATTTAAGCATATATTAATAGAACAATGGTAAATATTTATAGCATTAATATATTCATTTTTTAAGGGTTTTATAACATGAAGTCCTTATATATTATATAGTCCCTAGCCCTATATATTAACTTTTCGGTTCTACAGTTCAGAATTATAACATTTTTGATTAATCTTACAAAAGTTAATGAATAAGTACCTATAATAAATATAATTTGTATTTGAAAATGTTAACATTTTTTTTTTGCTTTCTGTGTAATCAGTGGCGGATTTAAGGGACACTGATATATATAGTACCCAGACTCCGATATATACATATATAATTCATTAATTAATTTTATTAAAATAAAAAGAATTAATTTTAAATCCATATTGTTTTTTAGGCCCCCCCCCCATAGAAAATTTTTGAAAATCCATCACTGTGTGTAATAGTATTTGTATAATGTATATACTATTAGTATTTATATTTTATAAGTTGTATATACATAAATGCTTTAAGCATAGTACCTTTATGTATATTGATTATTGAATGTTATATTTTTAATTATATTCAAATTATATTTATATTTAGGACGTAGGTAAATAGCATTATAGCTATGATAATATGCTAATGGATATATATGCTATCGTATATAGCTATATATGCGAAAATAAGGCATCTAACTAAAGGGCGCGATACGATTGCGCGCGGTCCTTATCAGCGGTACCTTTTTAAGCGTACGATTGCGCGCGCTATATTATTTTAACTTTTAAGCGACGTTGCCAAATATATAGGTCCATGGTAAATCCGTAGGATACCATAGTAGATTATAGTAGATTATTTATTACTTATTTTTGCCGATATCAGACAAACTTCCCATCACTAAGAATGAATTGGTTATATTATGTATCAAAAATATTATCTTTATTGTAAATGTCCATACATGTACGAATATACCTATACTATAATCGTGCATGATGTGACTATATCAATTAACTATCAGTTGTGTTCGGTTCTAATAATAGTTTTAAAAAAAAATGTGTCAACTATAATATTATATTATTTATTTTTAGGACTACAAACGGGGCTGAAAGTTTCCATAGTACATATAATGCACAGTTTAATAGTGCTCATCCACCAATATTTGTCGTTATAGCTACCCTTATGGAACCTCAGGCAGAAACAGTTACCAAATTATTAACCATTTCCAAAGGTATAATAAAACCAAAATCGAATGAAGAATCAAGGAAAATTGAAAATTTGAAAAATGAACACAAACATTATGTAAACAATAAAACACCAGAAAATTTACTAAAGTATTTGGCCATAGTTGGAAATAGGTATCGGGGGTTTAAAATGTAATATAAATATTAATTTACGAGTATTATATTTTTTCAATTATTAAATTTCTTTATTTTGTATTATTTTTTTTTTAACTTTTTTTATTTTTTATTATTTAAGTTAATTTTTTAATTTTTTTTTAAATAACATTTTTTTTATATTATTAACTTTTTGTATTTTTATTATTTACGTAATACATTTGGCAACGTCGCACCCAATTTCACGCGCAATCGTACGCCTTTGAGTAATTAAAATGTTGTCTTTTGTTATTCGGGCACTGCGCGCAATCGTATACCTAAAAAGGTAAAACGCGCGCAATCGTACTCCGCCGAAACTAAAAAACTAAAATGCAAGTATACTAATATACTATATATAAAATTGTATTATAAAAAAGGTATAAGGAGTTTAACTCCCCCCCCCACATCAACCACTGATTTACCAATTGTGAAAGTTAATTTACAACAAGAACAGAAAGTAGGGAGAAGTATTACCAACAAGTTTACAACCAGGAATAAGTTCTCCCCTAATCATCTAAAGTATAAACTAAGGTAACTTAAGTAAAATATTAGGAACTAATAATATGTTTGTAAGCTATTGGTAATACAGTTCTGATTCTTGAATTTTTGTTTTTAATTTTGTTGTGGATTTGTGTATAATGTGCCTGTATAGTGTATGGGTATGATAGATTTTACTAAATTTTAATTTTGAAAATAAATTAGAGATTATAGTTTTCTATACCTACACTAATATCACATTACTAAAAAGATAATATCTGTCTTTAAAATTAAAATAATTTAACAGCAACACTCAAACACGATTATTGTAATCAACAAATTCGACGATAGGTCGTTAAATATCACATTTAAGCCACAAATTAAATCCAGCGCCGACCTAAATTGTTGATAATAAATATGAACAGAAAATGCAAGTACCAACTATACGTATTATCGAGGGCCAAATAATAATTGGTTAAATATTTTTATGGAAATTATGGGGTGAAGAGAAATCCAGAGCAGCTACACAAGTGGAGAGGGGCTAAAAATGTTTGACCCCTTTATGAAAAACATCCTGCACGTGTCTGAACATACCTACGTTGCAAAATTAGGAACCTTAAATCGAAAGGAAAACGCTTTCAAAAATCTATTAGCATATTCTTTATGGCTGCCCGGTTTTGAATTGGAAAAAAAAAGTTCCGTTGTTTAGAAAAATTATGAAGGGTGCCTACGCTGAATAAATTGTTTTCGGAAAAAGAGTAAGAGGCGCCCCCCCCCCACACTGTCGATCCAACTGCTTGCCCCCTCGTCTATGAGTCCGGCATTGGTACTATTCGATTAGTAGTCGAGGTAATAAAAATATCGAGATGACAATATCGATAAGAAGTGCGAATGCGGAACACCAGTGATATATTTATGATCATTACCTATATTATATTGATTGATTGTACATGTTTATATTATTAAAATTAATAATGAGATACTTAACCTTTTATGGCAATTATCACAATATAATTGTATAATAATAATAATTAACATATCATATTATAATATACAGGCTAATTAATACGTAGTTTATTTTTAGCGAAGTTATGCCGTTTACAAATACTTTGGCTTAATAAGTTTTTAATTAACGAACCCAATACTACGATAATATATTATTATAATCTCTTATTTTTGTTTCGAGAGTAATCGTTAAATACTTCATTCTTTTGGTCTAGTCGTCACATCGTTCGCGCATAGATTTTCGTATAATTTTATTTTAAAATGTCTGATATAAATATTATTTCTTTATATATGTTCGACCACAAAACGAGTGGCCACGTTTCTTTGAGTGTCATCAACCGTTTACAATTATGGCATTTGTTTCCCCGAGATGGTTTTTTAAAGTGTTCCAATGGGCATGACTTAAAACTATGCGTTGATGCACATGCTATGGATGGTTATACTTGGAGATGAAGGCAAAAGTACAAAAATGAAAAAAAAACAATCTAAGTGTGATTGTTTCCAGTCTATACGCACAGGCACATTTTTTCATCAATCACATTTGTCATTATATCAAATAGTTACGTTTTCGTATTTATGGTTGGAAAATGTGTCTTTGTTGTTTTTACTGAAACAAGTAAAAATAGCCAAACATACTGCTGTATATTGGGCATCATTTCACCGTGAAGTAGTGTTCGATGCAATGATTTTGCAGCATAAAAAAATTGGTAAGTTTTTACGATATTTTTCTACTTTCACCCAAAAAAATTAACGATTATAATACATATACTGTAGGTGGCTTTGGTCAAGTTGTAAAAATTGACGAGTCTAAATTTGGCCGTCGAAAGTATCACCGGGGTCACCGTGTAGAAGGCCAATGGGTCTTTGGTGGAGTTCAGAGGGAAACTGGAGATACATTTTTAATACCGGTAGAAAAAAGAGACAAGGATACCCTATTACAGGCGATTAAAGATTGGATTTTACCAGGAACTACCATAATTAGTGATTGTTGGAACTGTTTAAACTGTTTTAAAAGGTAACTTATATTTAAATAACTAAAAACATCGTAATGGGTATTTTTGTATCAGTTTTTTTTCTAACACAATGTTTACTTCTTAGAGTTATAACTGTTTGGCAGAGCAGGGTTACACGCATTTGACAGTCAATCACTCTATTCAATTTTTAAATCCTGACAGGGGCTCACAAACAATGTCGAAGGGATGTGGCGCATGCAAAAGCATCTCTATCGCAGTATTACCGTAAAAAAGGTTTTGTGCTGGCTATTTAGCAAAATTCATGTTTTTAAAAGCGATGCCGCATTTTAAAGTTAGGGGTGTAACACGATTGCGCCCGGCTTACCTATTTCCATTCAAAAAACGCAATACGATTGCGCTCGACCAATTAGCAATATTGCGCCCGTCTATAACCTTTTTTACCTGCATAAAACGCAACACGATTGCGCTCTTAATAATTTTCCTTCCCAATTTTACAGGCTTAGGACTGACAACAAAATTAAATTGTTGGCTTGGTTAAAAATTTTGAGTTACAATTTTTTTTTTTTTTTAATAATAATACTTTAATAGTAGCTCTAGCATAGATATTTCTTTTTAATTAAAAATGTCTAATTAAATATTTTTTTAATCATAATAATAATAAGAATAAAAATAATACAAATGTATAAATTACAATTTTGTGGCACAAACCAAGGAAAACCAAGTCCGACTGTATTTTTAAATAGTGTACTAGAAAATTGTTATATAACATATACATATACGGGACAAACACATATATATATTAGAGCGCAATCGTGTTGCGTTTTATGCAGGTAAAAAAGGTTATAGACTGCCGCGACAGTGCTAATTGGTCGAGCGCAATCGTATTGCGTTTTTTGAATGGAAAAAGGTAAGCTGGGCGCAATCGTGGTTCACCGAAAGTTAGAGCCATTAACTGAATTTTTTAAACACGCTGGTA